TTCCCACTAGTTATCTACCTTACGTTTGGTAGTGTATATATGTCCATGCCACTCTCTCACTTCATCCCATCTGATGCTGTTCTTGATTAGAACACTTAAGAAAAAAGTTCCATGTTATTATATACTTTTCCAGTAAAATACGTGAAAGGGAGATCTTGTAGCAGTTTTGGTGACTATCACGTGCATTTGTAAGTTTTCATTTAAGATATTCTCCAAAAATCATCTTAGTTCCCTCTGTCTGTAGATGTGATGCTGTTTTATTCACTCTTTAGGGAAAGGAGGACTGAGCCTGACCCAACCAGGACCCCGAGCTCAGTGTGTCCAGACGTGTGGGACCAGGAGGTTTTATCACGCTGAGCATCTCAGAGGACCCCCCAATCTCACTGGGCACACACTTGCATCACCTCCTCGCTGCAGACGTGCAAACAGCGTGGCCATGCGGCTCTAGGGGGGCAGTTGGAAGCCGTAAGTGGAGAAGCTGGAATTCTAGCCTGAGAATACCCGAGCTCTTCACGTACCATCTGCCGAAGCACGTTGCTTCCTGTTAGTTCTTCGGAAATCCGAGGTCTTGCCTTCCGTTATCCTCTGCTTACTACAGCTCACACTTCCAAGCATCCCACTAGGTTTCTTCTGGGTGCCTGGGTTTGACTGGCCTTTTGGTGGCCTTTAAGACAAGCTCTCTTTGCAGGATGTTTCCAGAAGTCTCCACAAGGGGCACGTGATACTTTTGGTGGACAACGAGCAGGGCTGACGGGGTTAAATGCTGGCACGGGATCACGGGTGCCTTACACCCTCCCGCGCATCCCCCCTGCCAACCCTTAGTGGGAACTTCTCCCCCCGCCCCGAGGTCTGCAGGAGATTCTTCTCTTCTTAGCGCATTTCATTTTGTCCTTGTCTTCTTGTCGGGTGACCTGAGGTGCGGGAGTGAGATGCACATCATTCCCGGGGACTGATGGCCAGGACAGGGGGAGGGAGGGGGCCACAGCTGCAGACTCCTCGGGGAGCCCTCGGGAAGCTGCTGTGAGTCGGTCACAGCTTCGAGTCAGCCACATGGGAGGGTTGACACCTCTCGACTGCTGCAAGTCAGGGCTGTCGTCTCTTCCCAGACAGCCTGGTACCAGCACACGGCTGCATAGAAGTGGGTCCAGTACTGGCCGGCAAAACTCGGCTCAGCACGCCCTGTGTGTGCGAGTGTAGACCATCTACACCCTCAGACCACCTGCCCGATTAGTGGAAAGCCTGTCGGATTACAGAGGAAGAGAAGATAAAAGAGCCCGGACCACGGAGGAGCGTCTGTAACCCCGCATGAGAGGGAGAGGCCACGGGGCCGGGCTGGCGTGTGCGGCAGAGAGAGGCGGGCAGAGACTGGGCTGTGCGTGCCGGGTGGAGGAGGGGAAGGGTGTGAAGTGGGACGGCGCCTCGCACGTCCCGGTTCTCCTTTTTTCTGATCACAGCCCACAGACTGCTGTCCTGCAGGCGCCCTTTCACTGAAGACCCTGTGACATCGAGCGTGGCCGGGTCAGGACATGGCCCTGGGTGGTCAGCCGTCCTCCCAGCCATCCTTCCAGGAAAGGGTCGTCGCCCTCACTTTTCAGATGAAGACGTGACCTCCACAAGGTGACGTGCCTGAGGTCCCTTGGCCAAAGAGCAGCAGGGCTGAGCTCCAGCCGAGGCCGAAGGACTCCCAGCTGGACGGCAGCCTGTCTGGTCCTGACTTCAGAGCCGAGGGCACGTCCGGCGTCTGTGGCTGGGATTTGGGAGAGGAGTGGCGCGACCCTGCAACCAGGGGACGGCTTCTCTGACCATCCCCGGTGCACTTGTCCTCAGGCCTATGGTTTCCGTGAAAAAGAGCCTTAGAAACGACCCTGTGTGAGATCTCGGTGGGTTAGAGAACAGTGCGGCCACAAACGAACTCACGGTGGGCCTGGGTCTGGTGCTCCGGGATCCGGGCACAGGGATGTCTTCTTCTTAGTCTCTGACGTTATCAAGCATTTCCCGATTTTCAAAGAAGCATTTCTCTACTTCACGTCCATTAGGATGGCTACTCTAAAAAACAAACAAACAAACAAACAAAGAAAAAACAAAACCAGAAAACAACGAGTGTTGGCGAGGGTGTGGAGAAATTGGAGCCCTTGCACTGTTGGTGGGAGTGGAAACCGGTGCAGCCGCTGTGGAGGCAGTGTGGAGGGTCCTCAAACAACTAAAGCTAGAATTATCATATGACCCAGTATTCCTCTTTTGCGTATAGACGCAAGAGAACTGAAACCAGGGTCTTGAAGAGATATTTGCACACCCATGTTCATAGCAGCGTTAGCCACGAGAGCCAAGAAGAGGAAGAAACCCACGTGTCCACTGACACCCATGGATAAATGGAACGCAGTGCACTTGTGCAGTGGATGATTATTCAGCCTTCCAAAGGAAGGAAAGACTGACACAGGCTGCAGCATAGACGAAATCCGAGGACGTCATGTGCAGTGAAATAATCATTAAGAAAAAAGCCAAGTACTGTCTGCTTCTACGTATGTGAAGTTTCTGGAGGAGTCAAATCCATAGGGACAGGAAGGAGGGGGTGAGGGAGGAGCTGGGGGAGGGGCAGGGGCGCTAGTGTTTAATGGGGACAGAGTGTCAGTTTGGGCCGATAAAAACGTTCTGGAGATGGACGGTGTCGATGTTGCACAATGGTGTGAAGGTACTTAGTGCCGCTGAACTGTACGCTTAAAAACGGGTAAGATCGTACATTTTACCCCAGTTTTATAAAAGAGACATTTTGAGGGTGACTGTTGTTTGTGGAGGGGGTGTTCCCGTGAGCACGGGCGGTGTGCTCGGGAAGCCTCTGAGAGGCACGTGATGCATTTCCCAGTTCCCGCCAAGGCCACGGCCAAACACGGTATCCGTTCACCATCCCGACCCTTAGATAAATCAAAATCGTTGCCTGAATTCTTGGCAGAAGTTATTATGAAAATATAGAGGAAAAACTTTTCTCCATTAAATGTGCAAATTATATTTTCCTTTGTATTGTGTTTCCCTAGAAGATTCCTTACGATACAATTTTAAGTTTGCCTCTGGATCTAGTGTTTCAAAGTGAATTTTTTTTTTAAAAAAACCTATTAAATAGTGGATAAAGTGAACTTTTTAGCTTTAAATCTGGTCGATTTGTTTATGTGTTTATTCCACAGATTTATTAAGCGTCTACTGTGTGCCGAGCCCCGTGCAAGGAGCTGACTGGGTGGGGAGAGCAGACGTGAGGCCCACGGGAGGCCTTTGGGCTGGGTTGAGTCAGGCGCTATGCTGGGGTCTGGCTGGGGCATGTCAGAGGTAGGTCCCGGAGGCTGGACCTGAGTGGCGGGTAGGGATTCCCAGGACAGAGACTGGAGTGTCCCGGACAGCACACCGGCACCTGCAGGGTGTGTGCAGGGAGGGCTCAGTGGCCTCTGCTGGATTTTGGAAAGAAAAAGGCGTAGATGACCAGGATTTTGAAACAGGGATGGCATTACCTGAATAGGGAGAGAAATGCACCACTCACACGAAGATCTGGGCTCCTGAATATGTCGGGATTAAGACAGTTCTGAGATTTGCAAGCCTGGCAGCCAGGGCTGGGTACCTGCTGTCTTACAAGAAGCGAGTCACACGGGAAAAGAAACCAAAATCTGCTACTGGGAGCACATAGCTGTGGTTCTGAGGCCCATCGTGTACTCTTTAATCACACTTTCATTTTGAGTCTTTTCCTTTTCTCAGAGAAAATAATTTGGAGAAGTCGAGAACCTTGTCACTCTACGTCTTTAAAGAAGACAACTGTCTGAGTGCAGAGCTGGTGTCTTTGACAGGAGTGACAGGACAGGGTGACCAAAACATCCTCAGAGATGGGTGTTCAGAGGGTCCTGAAGCTTCCACTACAAAGCATCGTCCTTTCCACAGAATCCTTGGAAAATATGCAGAAAAGAATTACTAGGAAGAAAGAATAGTAATAAAGCTTTGACCTAGCAGAACTGCTTGACACCCAGTCCACGAGGCTCTGTGTTGAGGGTGCACTGGCGAAAAACTGTGTCTGCAAAGGGCCCACAGACTGTTGGAGACATAAACAAAGATCAGGGAATAAACCTATCGCTTGGAAACAGCAAAGTAACACCCACTGAATATGGTCGTGTACAGGCTCTGTGCCCAACAGAGTTTTATGTATTATTTGGTCTCCACAATAATCCCGTACGGTCTGTTGTTATTATCCCCATTTTATGGAAGAGGAAAGCTCAGAGTGGTTCGGTGAATTGTCCCGGGTCACAAAGCAGGGAAGTGACCAAGCAGGATACTGACCCAAAGGCCCTGACTGTGGCCAGTAACCCAGGGACTCTCAGCCCTGGCTGCACAGTAATGGGATTAATGAGGGGCCTTTGAACCTACCCATGTCTCCCAGATCAACCGAGTCAGGCCACCCCGGGGTTAGCCGAGACATGGGGGGTTTCAGGAGCTCCTGGACCCCACAGCGAGTCCAGAAGAAGGTCAGTAAGAGCCCGAGAGGCAGTAATGCTGTGAGGAGACCTCCCCGTTTCACCAGGCAGAGCCGCTGGCCGTAGCATCGTGGAGGGAGCCAGGCAGGACCGACCGTGCGTGGGAAGCATTCGTGTCCAGTGTTTGCCAGCAGGCCTGTCTAGACAACCACATGAGCTGGCTTTGCCCCACCTAAGGGCGCCTGATGTCTGTAAATGGGTACATGCTTTCAGGGTGTGGAATTTACTTGTGTAGGGAGTAAAGAATCTAAATGTCATCAGCAGGAAAATGGTTAAGAAACAGCTTCTGGGAAGATGATTAGGTCATCAGTAATGCTTACGGGGAATTTATCATAATATGGAAAATATTTATATTAAATGTTGGATTTTTTTAAAAGGATCATTAAAAATTGTATATGCAGTAAGATCAAAGGAAGAAAAATGGAGACATTTCTTTTCTTTGAAAGGGAAGAAACACAGCCTAGAATGTTCCCATCAGAGAATTTTATTCGACCTCTTTGCATCTCATCTGGTCACATTTCCCTTCTAAGCCCTTTGAAATTCTGTTCACTAAGGAGGAAATAAAACCCGAGAAAATAGCACAATGCTGCTGATGGGACCCTCACTCCCCTGCGGACACTGGGCACATTATACTGGTGTCAGCAGGGTCTACATCCTTCAGAAGCACAATAGTGGGGGGTCACACCGCATTTCAAGTCTGGTTCTGGTAAAAGGAACCTACCCGGGAGGCAAACAGCTCCGGGAGAGGGTGAGGATTTGCCCTTTTCTATTGCCTACTGCCAGCAGTTTTAACCTTAACTATTACAGCTATCGTAGGACTACCTCCTGGGAAAAGCAGAGGTCTCTCCCTGGGGGCAGTACAGGTGCAGCTCCAGGTGAGGCTGCCTGGTGTGGGCTGCATGGGACCCTGTATTACACGCAGACCCCGGTGAGTCCCTTTGGGGGAGAGCACAACCGCCTTGAACAGAGAGTGAGAGAGAAGGCAGAGAGGAAGCGGACTTTCTAAATCCTTTGTCACCAGCATGAGCTACAAATTCGGGACATAATTTAAGAAGAGTGAGAGGAAAAGATGCAGCCCTTGTTGGTGTCCAGGGGCTGCGCCCACCCTCCCTGCAGTGGCGTTGAACCCGGGCTGGTCCCTAGCTGCTGTCCTCAGGAGTTGCCATTGGGTGGAAATCACCATTTCACATGCAAATTGGTATCTCATACTGTGTGTTTCTCCCAGGAGGCTTAAAGTACAGTGATTTTTTTTAGAGCAGGAGAAGCAGATTGAGTTCCAAAAGTATTCAGACATTCAAACTTAAAAAAAAGTACTAGAAGCAATTTTGAGACGTTTAGTAGGAAAGTATTCCTTATAATAAACGAGGGCACTGACTGTGTTGTCTTGGAGGTAATGTGTAAAATCTGTGCAGGTGAAGCTCAAGTTTACCATCAGTTGTGAGCTAAGAAGAACCGAGCTCAGGACTTACACCCTGCGGAACCTGTTTTTAGACCCAAAGCCCCACTTCCCCATGTCAGTTGCCACAAGTCTGTGCAGTAGGTAGAAAAAGAGCATAGAGTTTTTGCATTTTTTGCATTCAAGCATAGAAGGATAAAGTGACTTGCCGACACCAGAGTCAGGACCGCGTCTGCCACGCCGCCTTCCACCACCTTCCGCGTCACCGGTCCACCACAGCATCTTTTTCCAGCTATGACTGTGTCGTAGTCATTTAGTGATTGAACCTGCATGGGAATTGTGTAAAGGCTCTGCTCGCTCATGTTGCTGAACTGCTCTGCAACACAAAATAGCTGAAGGAAATCCTGGTAAACAGCAGTGACACGTGCTGAAGTTGCGTTCAAGCTTGTAGTGCAGAATCTTAACTAACCATCATGACTGCTCAGCGCCCCCCGGGTAGCTGTCGTGGACGTGAGGTGGGGAGCTGGCCATCCTCAGGAGTAAGAATCTCTGAGCTCACAGCCGGGAGCCTCTGCTTCCTGCTTTCGGGCCCTGAGGGTGAGGGTGTAGAAGAGCTTGCGGTAGGAGCGTCTGAAGGCGGGGTTCGAGAAGCAGTACACCACGGGGTTCAGCACGCCCTGCAGGTAGGTGAGGCTGCCGGTCAGGTCGGCGGCGTGGACCATGGAGCTCAGGACCCCGCAGCTGAGCGCCCCTCGGAAGATGGCCAGTAGGATGCGGGCCAGGAAGCTGGGCAGAAAGCACAGCGTGAACAGCACCCCGACCATGGCCACCAGCGCCTGGGCCCTCTGCAGCTTGGGCTGCTTGTGTGGGTCCCGGAGCCGCTTCTGGAGAGTCCTGATGATGCCGGCGCTGCAGAACAGGATGAGGCCGAAGGCGAGGATAAACTGGAGGAAGGAGAGGGCTTCCTGCCAGACGAGGCTGAAGGAGGACTCCGTCCTGGGCTCAGAACTGGGGCACTCGGCCTCAGAGAGGAACACGCTTTGGTGAGTGAGGGCTGCCATCACGAGCCAGACCAGGACCGAGATCCCCCAGGCCGCCCGCACGGACAGGAGGTTGACTTTGAGCCGCGAGTGGACCACCCGGAGGTAGCGGTCCAGGGCCACGGCCGTGAGGAAGGCGACACCCGCCCCACGGCACAGGGACCGCAGGAAGAGCATCCCTTGGCAAGACGCACGTCCCAAGCCCCAGGTCTTCTTCCGCAGGTAGAAGGCGGCGTGAAAGGGCAGGCAGGCAGCCAGCAGGAGGTCTGCTAGGACCAGGTTGAACAAGTAGACGGCGTAGGGCTTCCACACCTTCAGACGGAAGAAGAAGGTCCAGAGCGCCACGGCGTTGCCCAGCGTGCCCAGGCTACACTCCAGCAGCAGCAGCAAGGCCGTGCTCACCTCCGCCGCGTAGCTGTGCGCCACCGAGCAGTTGGGTGGCAGCATGTGGCCAAGTCCCCGCCGCGGCCGAGCCTGACGCAGCGGAGCACAGGGACGCAGGTTCTCTTTCCCGCAGACGGACAGAAAGCACACTGACCAGCATCGAATAAAGTCAAAGGCAAACTAAAATTTGTCTGTGGAAAGAGGATTGGGGCAGAGGGAAAAAACCTCTTGCAGTTTTGTTTTGCCCTGAAAGCAGGGAAATTGTGTTTCACTTCCCACATCTGGCATTAAACTGAAGCCCTAGTGTCCTGAGAGTGTCCGCGTGAGCACGGCTCTCCATCCACAGCTGTCACTGAAGGGGCTTGAGAAGTTTGGGAAGACTTGCTGTCTATAAAGTTAAAATAATGATGGAAACAAATAGATGGTTCTCAAGTCTGCATTGTTTTCCGGTAGATCTGGTCCCGCATTCCCCTCGAAGAGGGTATGGGGTGGGGGGGGCCTGGCCATTTTGTAGTTGCCCATTTTCACCTGTCCTTTCGTTTTGTTAGATTTGATTTTCTGCTGAGGAGGCTTCCCTGACCAGGGATGGAGCCCGTGCGCCCTGCAGTGGAAGCTCGGAGTCCTAACCGCTGGACTCCCGGGGAAGTCCCTGCTCAGCCTCGTTCGGGCTTTGGAATCAAACGGACTCTGGTTCTACCTGGTCTCTCCACTTAGCAGCAATGTGGGGTGAATATGACAATAGCTGCCTGTGGGGTCCTTGTAGCTGAGGTTCTCTTACAGGTACAGCACTGTGCCCTGTATCTGGGGCATCTCGGCTGCCAGATACATTTGCTGCAGTAATTACTAACCTCTGTCTGATGCTTAGACTTTTAACAAAACGATGCTTAGACTTTTTTTTTTTTTTTGCGGTACGCGGGCCTCTCACTGCTGTGGCCTCTCCCGTTGTGGAGCACAGGCTCCGGACGCGCAGGCTCAGCGGCCGCTGCTCACGGGCCCAGCCACTCCGAGGCATGTGGGATCTTCCCGGCCCGGGGCATGAACCCGCGTCCCCTGCATCGGCAGGCGGACTCTCAACCGCTGCGCCACCAGGGAAGCCCGATGCTTAGACTTTTAACGAAACTTTTTTTCCCCAATGTAGTAATACAATTTCGCACCCAGCTGCAATTCCACGGTGCTTCGATGCCTTTGTTTCTGAGACCTAACTTGGAAGCTTTAAGGGGTCTCAACAGCAAGAATTACTATTTCGCTGCATGTTTTCCACGTGTCATGTGCTCTCCTGTGTTATTGCAACGAGGTGCAGTAGGTACAATTTTAAGCTCTATTTTTTTTTAAATAAATGCATTTATTTATTTTTGGCTGCGTTGGGAAAGCCCTATTTTATGGATGAAGGCGTGGCAGCTCAGAGAGGTTAGGTCGCTTGCTCCAGGTCACAGGGCAGTCAGCGGCAGGAGCAAGGTCCCCCCAGCCCAGCTTGCACCAGAGCCCAGGGTCTTGACCACGCTGCCCACTGCTTCCCTGCTGGCAGCAGCCTCACTCCTGTGTGCATGAGAAGTCCATGTCTCAGGAAACCCACCACGACTATTGATTTACATGACATTTTGGGTCACTTGACATGTAGTCCTTCTTGCTTTAATTTTATCAGGGTTTTCCTTTCCAACTGGGCCACCAGCCCACACGTCCCCCCATCTCTGCGTCATGCAGGTTCACCTGCCTCGTGTTTCCTAAGGAGGTGCACTTGGAGAGTCGTCCAAGCGTCCAGAGCTGCAGAAACGTCCCGACTGGTACCTCTAGGGACACCTCCCATGAACTGCATGCCTGTTATAAAGGGTTCCTTGGGGGCACAAAAGGATGTGTTTGTTCCAGGTGAGGGCTGGCTGGGGACCACGTGTCTCACCTCCAGGGATGCCGTGGCACACGCACGGTAACACCAGAAAAGCTGGCACTCACTCGTCTTTTCAGGGACGGGAGTTACACAAACGCAGGGAAGAAACGGATTAAATCCTTTCTCTCAACACAATGATAACTTGAGAGACGTTAAAAGCTACCCCTTGATTGCAGATTTCTGTCCACAGTGCACCAAAGACTTTCTAAATTATAGATATTCTAGCTCAATAGGTAACATAAACATTAATAATTACACATTTTCCTTTTTAAAGATAGAAAGTCAAAGTTACAGAATTTTTGAAAATTCTGCTTGTCTTTGTCAGCACCCCGGTGTATTTCCCTTCCTTCTGAAAGACTGAATTGTCCTTTACTTCCTCTCTTTTAAAGTTATAATATTCGAGCTTTTCCCTTAGGGTTCTTGTTCAATCTTTTTATCCTTAGAAACTCCATTTTCAAAAACCATTCTATTTCTTCAATACTCTTCCTATTAAGGAAACTTCTCTGTTCTCACTCCAGTTGGTTTCACTTTTTGTTCAAAGTCAATAAATGAAGAATACTTGGTCAGTAAACTGTGATTCTCTTTCAAAGTTTCCCTCCCCTTCAAGCCCTGTGGGAATCTACCACCCACTCGCCCACGAGGGGGCTGCCCGTCCAGTGTCACAGCTTGGGGAGCGGCCGGCTCTTTGTAACCACAAGCCTAAGAAACAGGAAAAGGAGGGCCTGTCCCTGAAACTCACACTTTGGTGGGCCGAGTACAAGTTCCCAGAGCTGAAGAGACCTGGGGCGAGCCCAGCGAAACCAGGTCACTGACAGAACAACAGAGCTGCAGCTCTGCCGGGACGCAACACGGTCCCAGGGCTGCAAGTCTGGGGCAGGGGGTAGGGCCTGGTGTCTGTGGACGCAGGGTCCCGTCCTTGGAGAATCCACTCTCAGTGCCTCCTCGGCAGGTCCCCTCAAATTATTTTTCTTCCCCAGATTCCTGGCCTGATAGATCTAGAAAGAACACCGAAGGAACGTAAGATCTTCTTTGTCAACTTTACACCTATTTACTAAAAACGAACAGCAAAAATTAAAATCAAACACACGCAAAGCCCTCCTGTACCTTGGACACAAGTTCCATGTCTTAGAGTCTTTCATAAAGTGATAGCTAGTGACATAAGCAAAGACTGAGCGACAGGAGATCCCTGTGACGTGTCTATGATGCCGATGTTCTAAATATTTCAAAACACAATGACATGAGAAGTTGTTTAAGGTTACAGATTAGATGGATAAAAAAATCCACATTGTCAACTGTGCAGAGCAGCACCTAATCTTGCTTGTTTATAGAAAGTACTGGGAGGAAATTTACCAAATTTTTAGCAAGTAGCTATCTCCAAGTAATGGGAGTACAAACGATTTTTTTTTTTTACTTTAGAGCTTCCTATATATTCTATAACAGAATAGATCACTTTAATAATCAGGAAATAACTGTAAATTTTAAAAATAAGTTTTTAAACTGTGAGTTTACACATGAGAGGGAACCATTTTCTTTGGAAGCATCAGTCTGAGACTAAGGCTGGCAGCGTACGCTGTGTGGTAGCCACAGCCTCGCAGTGTGGTTAATTATGTCCAGGTGGGCATCACACCCTCTGGGTGAAAGAGAGACACACACAGAGACAGAGATAGAGAGAAAGAGAGAGGGAGAGAGAGGGAGAGAGAGAGAATACATGTGATTAAGATGTTGTGACTGATCTCATGAAAACAAGGGTTTAAAGTCCACTAAATGCCTTTCCGACAGCTCTCACAGCCAGAGAAATGATGTTGGCCCATCTCAATGTCTGGGGAAAGAAGAGCTGAGAAAGAGAGGAAGAGAGAAGAAACTGCAGACAGTGCTGACCAGGGGAGGCTGAGGAGGGGGTGGGCAGGGGGCAGTCCCACCACCCGCCAGGGAACCCACCCTGCAGCATCGTGTCTTCTGATCTGGGAAAATGATCACATAAGCCACAAAAAATAGTTGTTGTGTGACACAGTTTATGCTTAAAAATATATGTGTAGGGCTTCCCTGGTGGTGCAGTGGTTGAGAGTCCGCCTGCCGATGCAGGGGACACGGGTTCATGCCCCGTTCTGGGAAGATCCCACATGCCGCGGAGCGGCTGGGCCCGTGAGCCATGGCCGCTGATCCTGCGCGTCCGGAGCCTGTGCTCTGCAACGGGAGAGGCCACAGCAGTGAGAGGCCCGAGTACCGCAAAAAAAAAAAAAAAAAAAAAGTATTTTACTGAAGTATTGAAGTAAATCAACTGATTTACAATGTTGTGTTATTTTCTGCTCTACAGCAAAGGGATTCAGTCATACATATATGTGTTCTTTCTCATATTCTTTCCCATTGCGCTTTATCACAGGATATTGCCCTGTACTGTACAGTAAGACCGTGTTTATCCATTCTATGTATACTAGTTTGCATCTGCTGACCCCACACTCCCAATCCATCCCCCCGCCCCACTTGGCAACCACAAGTCTGTTCTCTACATCTGTGAGTCTGTTTCTGTTTCACAGATAAGTTCATTTGGATCGTGTTTTAGAGCCCACATATAAGTCATATCGCGAGGTACTCGTCCTTCTCGGTCTGGTGGACTTCACTTAGTGTGAGCATCTCCAGGTCCACGACGTTGCTGCATAAATAAGGACTAAGATTCCACTGCTTCCCAAACGTGGTCAAGGCAGGAGGCTACTGGCCACCTCATAAACCGTTAGCAGCTACGTCCTGCTTGCCTGTCTTCCAGATTTCGAGCTCCCGCGTGTATCCTCCGTCTGAAGGGAGAAAGGGGGCCCGCGTCCTGGGGTTGCTCATGCCTGTTTCCCTGGTGAAGACACTTTCGGTGAGTTTCCCCCGAGACGTGAGGTCTCCTCCAGCAAGTGCAGAGCCCTGGAGGTGACGTCCCTTCTCCCTGCCTTTCCCCGACGTGGCACGGCTTCCAGTGACCATCGTCTCATTTACGGCATGGAAATTTCAACAGCGGCATGAAGGTCACTGCTGAAACCTGCCTCCTGCAGGGTTCCTGGCCGGGACAGCGGGGGGCACTCAGCTGGCCACACCCCATGCCGACACCGCCCGCTGGGAGCCTGTACCCTACAGACCGTCTCTACTCACTGGTGCTAGCTCCACAGAAGGGCGTCTGTGATTTCCTGTGATGCGACAGAAGGAAAATTTTTAAACAAAAGTACAAAA